TTCTGATGGGGGCATAGAATTCCATTGTGTATATATACCACATTTTCTTGATCTATTCATCTACTGAGGGGCATCTGGGTTGGTTCCATATCTTAGCTATGGTAAATAATGTTGTGATAAACATAGTTGTGCTGATAGCCTTAGTATGGCCTTGTTTCTGATCGGTTGGGTAAATGCCCAAAAGTGGGATTGCTGGGTCATAGACTCTCTGTGGAGTCTTTTGTGGAACCTCCATACTGCTTTCCAAAGTGGTAGAACAAGTTTACACTCCCACCAACAAAGCAGTAGGGTTCCTTTCTGGCCACATCCCCTCCAGCATCTGTTGTTATTAGAGTTCTTGATTATAGCCATTCGAACTGGGGTGAGGTGGAATCTCAATGCTGTTTTGATTTGCATTTCTTTTTTTTTCTGGGGGGGGGGGTGTCAGTCGTGGGGCCTGAACTCTGGGCCTGGGCGCTGTCCCTGAGCTCTTCAGCTCAAGGCTAGCGCTCTACCACTTGAGCCACAGCGCCACTTCCGGCTTTTTTCGTTTTTGCTTATGTGGTGCTGAGGAATCAAACCCAGGGCTTCATGCATGTAAGGCAAGCGCTCTACCACTGAGCCACCTTCCCAGCTGATTTGCATTTCTTTTATGGCTAGAGAGGTTGAGCATTTCTTCATGTGTGTATTGGCCATCCTTCTTTCCTCTTCAGAGAAGTTTCTCTTTAAGTCTTTAGCCTATTTATTTATTGGGCAGTTGTTTCTTTGGGGATTTGTTGTTGGGGTATTTAATTTTTTGAGTTCCAAGTATATTTTAGATATGAGATCCTTGTCCATTGTTTGGCTAGTGAAGATCTTCTCCCAATCTGTGGGCTTTCTATTGATCTTGCTAGCTATGTCCTTTGCTATGCAGAAGGTCTGCAGCTTCATGCAATCCCATTTGTCCAACCTTTCTTTGATTTATTGTGTTTCTGGGTCTCTATTAAGAAAATTTCAGCCTGTGCCAAGGAGACCTAGGGTTTCTCCTATTCCTTTCTGTAATGTTTTCAGGGTGTCTGCTTTGACTCTGAGGTCTTTGATCCATTTGGAGTTGATTCTAATGCAGGGTGATATGTAAGGATCTAGCTTTATTTTCCTACAGGTGAATAACCACTCTTGCCAGCACGTTCTTAATAGGTCTGATAAAACTGATCACATTTGTAGGTTTTAATTCATTGTTCTAGTTTTTATTTGCAAAATTAAAAAATGTTTCTTGCTCTCTGGGGATTACTTGTATCTTGCATTTCTTCCTTCTTCTTGACAGCTATGCATTCATCCATTCTTTCAGTTTTGTCTTTTGTACACTTTTAGTTCCTGCACAGAAATCAGCACTTTCTGGAAAAAAGTTCAGAATGCTTATGTGCTATTCTTCAACAAAATAAGAAGTTTAGTATGCATTTATTCTTTGTACACTGGTCCTTCCTTCTCTCCTAGCTGCTATGTGATATGTTGAATTTTATTTCAAAATTGCTGATTTAACACACCTATACACATACACTTTAGCAGTATTCTTTTTTATTTTTATTTATTTATTTTTAGTTGAGATTAGGTGATTACATAAATTTCCCATATTTCACAGTATTGCGGAATAATGATACTTAAAGTCACAAACACATTTTAACCTTCCTTTTTTATTTTTTAAATTATCTCTATATAGTTGTACAAAGGAGGTGGCATATAATAAAGCAGTTTATGAACAGATTGCATCTTGATCAGTGTCACCCCTTCAACATTCTTACCTCCCCTACCCTTTTCCCTTCTTTTCTTAGTTTTGTGGTATATACAATGAATTCTTGCCTCCATTTTCTGTTTCCCCCACCGTTTTTCTAAAAGATTATATTATCTCCATAGAGTCTTCTATACTTCAGCCAATTGATTTGTTACCACACCGTCCAGTGTGTTTACTTACAGATTTATAGGTACATTCTAGCTACTGCAAATGAGGGAAACCATGGAATCTTTGTTCCTCTGTGTCTGAGCATATTTCACTTAATATAACTTTTTCAAAGACTTTCTATTTCCTTAAGAATGGCACAATAGCATTCTTTCTAATAGATGAGTAAAATTCCCATGTATACACACAGATTTATAGGTACATTCTAGCTACTGCAAATGAGGGAAACCATGGAATCTTTGTTCCTCTGTGTCTGAGCATATTTCACTTAATATAACTTTTTCAAAGACTTTCTATTTCCTTAAGAATGGCACAATAGCATTCTTTCTAATAGATGAGTAAAATTCCCATGTATATACACTTACTTATGTATGTATATATATGTGTGTGTGTGTGTGTGTGTGTGTATACATGGCTATGGTGAATAATGTTCCAATGAACAGGGTTGTGCTGATGGCTTTACTGTAACCTTGTTTGTGTTCCATTGGATGAATGCCCAGGAGTGGAATTGTTGGATCATAGAGTGTTTAGTTTTGTTTAGTTTAGTATGTTTAGTTTTGTTGAGGAAATTCCATATTGCTTTCCAGAGTGGTTGAGCAAGCTTACATTCCCACTAATAGTGTATTAGATTCCCTCCCTTTTGGCCAAGTACTCTTCACTACCTGTTGTTTGTTTTAGCAGTATTCTGAAAATGATTTTTTAAACTGTTCTTAAAATGTTTTCTTTGTTCATTGTTTCTAGTTAATTATGTCTTCCTAGATTTTGCTTTCTTGTAGTAGCAATTCCTCTAGTAATTCCTTCAAAGAAGGTGGGTATAAATTTTCTGTTTGCAAACGGCTTTAATTTGTGGAAGAAACTGAGTAGCTGAATTATTCCACAGACCCTAACAAGACTTGGGCCTCCACTTTACTAAATCCAACTTGAATTTTAGAAACACTCCTGAAATCTTTCAAATTGAGTGTCATTTCTCTTGACCAATATAAAACAAAACAAAAAAACAAAAGAAAGAGAAAATGAAGCAATCTTTTGGATGGTTTATAATAGAGTAAAATATTTTAGAAAGGGTACTGAATAAAGGAAATGTGTCACCAAGGAAAGTAATGGTGAATAGTTTATGAGTGCAAATCAAAGCTGCAGCCCTCAACTGCTCTCTATTCAGACTGTTATTATGTTCCTGGGCCTGGAGGGTAAACAAGTAAGTGGGAGGTCTCAGTACTGAGTTTCTCCAGGCAACACTGTGGGATTGTGCTGTGGAGATTTACAGAATCTCAGAATCAGGAAGAAGACACTAACTCATGCAGCCAGCAGCAACACAAAGCGCTGCAGAATTTGTGGTATAGCTTTAGATTTATGAGGAAAATACTTAAAAGCTGCGCCCAACTGCTGTTATTTAGTGTGCAGGCAAAATTTGAATGGCTAAATATTGGACTTGTTTTCGCAGAGTCATTTGCCAACAGATAGCATTTTCTGTTCCTCTCTCTGTGTGTGTGTGTGTGTGTGTGTGTGTGAGAGAGAGAGAGAGAGAGAGAGAGAAAGAGAGAGAGAGAGAGAGAGAAAGAGAGAGAGAGAGAGGCTGTATTCAGTTTCACACATCTTCAGGCTTCACATGTATCATTTCACTCAGCACTAGCTTAAGTTCTCTATAATGGGTACTATTGTAGTGCCAATGCTGCTGCTGAGGAAAATAAATAAAGATAAAAGGAATTTTTAATCATCAAAAATCATTAAGCCATGGAACCAGAATTAAATAATTTGACTCTGAAACACTTACTCTTATTCATTATATTGCTCTTCTAGTCACAATAGGGATACAGAAATATATATTATATATATATATATATATCACTGAAATATTGATTTGTATCTGACAATATACCATATCTGTTGTTCCATATAATTAAGTATACAATAATATAATTTTAAGTGACTACCATACTTTCTTGTTTAAGCAACTTCATAGGTAGATATTATGTTATTCTGCTATTTCCTCAATAATTCCTTCACCATCCTGATTCCTCTCATAATCTCTGATCCTAACACTTCCATAAGGTTTATTTTGTATATTACCATGATTATGGTAATAATAATGTTAATACTTCTTCACTAAGTGGCTAAATATATGTACAGCTTTAGCTATTTTGATTGATTTTTGTAATTACTTCAGGCAGTTAGAATATTACAAGTGAAGCTCTAGATGATTTGCATTTTCTTCACTATATACTTTATAATATTCAAATGTATTATGTAATAAAGAAAATCAAGTTAGAGGTTTTCTTATTAAAAGCAAATCATTTCAGTAAAGACACAGAAGTTTAAATATGCCATGACTCTCCTCTCCTATAAATAGTTTCATTGATGAACAGAAGTCACTAGTACAGACTAAATTTATAAACTTTTATTTTACTGAATGGTGCTGTTCTTGCACTGTTTTACCACCTGTCACTATTTCACACATGGAACAATCTGAATTACAAGGATACTTATCCATCCTTCTCCCTGGATTAATATATGCACTCCTGTCTCTTAGTTTCCTGTGTTTATTCATCAGGCATCTGCTCAACAGAGCCAGAGTTGTTAGCAATTCACAGGTACTTGTTAGTGGGGCTCATGTGCAATGATACTGGGGTTTAAATATAGCTGAAGTGGTAGTGTGCTGAAGTGAAGGTCTACTCAATAAGGAAATAACCAGTGGAATTCATCTGCAAAATAGGACAGATGTTTATCTGTAACCAGAAATCATGGGCATACTTAACTAGAGTTAGCCTTCACTTTTTTCAGTTTCCAAAAAGCATTTATTTTTTCCCACAAATCATCTTATGCAAATGACTTAACACAAAAAAGTGTATGGGGGGGCTCATAGTTATGTATGTGATCATGTATGTAGATGTATTTGTGTATATGAATGAGAGCGAGAGAGAAACTGCGTTTTAACCAAAGCACATTTCATATGTTTATACAGTCCATATCTAGTAAGAGAGAGGCTACTGATTTGACATACATATTAATGAAAGAGTACAACAAAAATGCTGAAGATATTTTTTGTTTTATTTAAAATGGGAGCTATCACAACACATCATACAATGAATGAATACATTAGAATCACATTAAAACCTTTAAGAACATCTCTATACAGTCACAGAACATGATGCATGCTGCAAGGATACAAATACAAATTGATAGCAGACTCAGTATATTTTCACGAGGAAAGCAATCAGTGGGAGAACAGGAACAGGCAGGAGTGCCTCCCTTTCAGCAGTAACTCATGCTTCAGAGCAGCCGTTTCTTTCTCTGGAGACTGACTGTCACTAGCAAGTGTTTACAACTGGATTGGATACTGTGCTTTGTTGAGAAATTACCATTGATATCTAACTTTGAGAGAATTATCATTACAACACCAGTTTACAACACACATTGACACAATAAGAAAAATAAACACTTTCTGAGTCTTTAACTCATAACAACAACTGTTACTAAATAAATAATTATTCATCATAGTGCATGTTTTATTTTACCTTTCATTATCCATTGACACAAATGAAGCTTAATAAATACATTTTACATAGTTTATTTACGTCTTCTTTCATAATTCGGCATTACACTCCTTTCATAGGCCACTGAAAACAGGAGGAGAAGATGTTTTAAGAGGATTCACTGAAGGAGTCAAATTTATGGACACATCGGTTAATTTGTGGTAAGGATCTACTCCCCATTCAAAAAGTATTTCTAGGAATTTGATTTGTACATCTTGCAATCCTGCCTCATTCTCTATTCTGATTAGAAGATTTGACCATAAATCCTTTGAATTCTTTGTCAATCTATTTTATACAATGTATTTCCAGGATATAGTGCAATGTTGATTTTCAGCAGCTTTCTCTCTTTCTTTTTTCTTTCCTTCCTTCCTTCCTTCCTTCCTTTCTTCCTTCCTTCCTTCCTTCCTTTCCTTCCTTCCTTCCTTCCTTCCTTCCTTCCTTCCTTCCTTCCTTCCTTCCTTCCTTCCTTCCTTCCTTCCTTCTTTCTTTCTTTCTTTCTTTCCTTCCTTCCTTCCTCCCTTCCTTCTCTTCCTCCCTCCCTCTCCCTCTCCCTCTCCCTCTCTCTCTCTCTCTCTCTCCCTCCCCCCCCTCTCTCTCTCTCTTCTTTCTTTCTTTTTCCTTTTTTTTGGTCAGTAGTAGGACCTGAACTCTGGGCCTGAGCACTGTCCCTCAGCTCTTTAGCTCAAGGCTAGCACTCTACCACTTGAGCCACAGCACAATTTCCGGCTTTTTCTGCTTATGTGGTGCTGAGGATTTTCAGCAGCTTTTTCAAGCAGATACAGTACATTATAGAAAGAATCAGGCTGAAAGTAACCAATGTTAATAGGGTAAATGTGAAACATGGAATTTTCATGATAAGATATGGGTTAAAAAATGAAGAGGCCACAGGTCAAATCTAGCCTACCATTTCTTCTTATAAGGAAAGCTTTATTGGAACCCAGACACCTTTGATTTATTTATGTGTTATGTATCATTGCTTTGGCTATAAAATGGCAGACTTGAATAGTAGCTACAGAGATCCCATGGCACATAAAGCCTAAAATATTTATGACTTATTCCTTTCAGAAATGTTTATCTCTGTTTGAGGTATGTGAGGGTAGGTATATTTCAATGATAGATTATCCTTAAGATGAAAAACAACTTCATTTTCTGTATGAAAATGTAAGTCCACAAAATACAGGTCAGTTTAATTTACCTCCTAGCACCCTGACAAGATTAATTACACATCAAAAGGTATATAACACATCAGTTAGTCAGTAATTTATATACTTTGACTCTCTAGATAAAATTGTTAAACTACATTAGTATATTAATCATGTATAATTTCATGGGATCTGTAATTATAAAAGTTAAGGATCAGTCATATAATCAGAGATATTTTTCATCATCTTAGCTCATACTTTATGTTTCAATTTGCATTATACTGAATCTAATGTGCATTTAGAAAACTGGTGGTCCCTGTACAAAATACTGAATTTAAATAAAAAATGAAAAAACACAAAACAGAAAAATGGGTTACTAAGAATCAGGAACTCATCTAAATAGTCTTCTCAGTGAGAAGAGTTTATTGAGAGCACAGATGGGTAAAAGGCTCAGAGTTATCACATTCCCCCTTCTAAGACTGAACTATAAAGTTCACCAATCACTGATATGAGGTGAACAATAAGCTAAGTGTTTTGCATCAATTATGCATGCAAATCAGAGACAGAACAAGTTGAGCTCCAAATTGACCATTTTTGATGGACAGTGAAGTTCATTTCTCATCCTCTCTTATTAGAAGAATAATTAGCACAAGCCAGTTCCTTATAAGCTTTAGGTAAGACAACTTTGTTCCACTCAGAAATGAGATGAATGCTAATTGAAGTACCTAAAGAAAGAGTAACCATTTAGCTGGGACATAATGTCCTCTTCTTCCAAGAGTAGTGCTCTTAATTAGTCCTTGAGCTCTCTGAAACTACATGCCAACTCCTCTGTGTGTCTGAATTGTTGAGGAGTTGCACATTTATCAGATTATTATAAGGAGCTGTAGCTATGCAAAAAGATAATGCTAATCCTGTATCAACAGTATATGTAAAAATCCCCAGTTGATTATATATTATATCTTTCCTATTTTTCCTATATTTTCATAATAAAAATGGAAGAATAAAGTCTTAGTTAAAAATTGATCCCAATTCATTATAGTGCATCCTATTTTTATTATCTATAATTATAGTATTACATATTGTACATCCAATCTGTTCTAACTTGCACAGTACCCATATTGTTTGTGAAGTTAAATATGCTCTGAAAATCAGTTTTGAAGATGGATTATTAATGACCTATACCATTATTAAGAGATCCACAGGTATGTAAGAGACAAACCAATACCACTGTGGTTTAAATTTGTATCCCATGTCCAAAAGATGGAACAAAATATATATTAATAAAACAATTGCAAGATGTTCATTGGATACACTTAACAACATCTTTAAAATCTAAAAGTTGAGGAGGCCCACCGTTTTTGCTGAGTAAGTACAAAGGTAGTACCAAAAATTTCAAAGTAAAGAAATAGTATAAATACTAGTATGATTATTTTGTGTGAATGCAAATACTCAAGAATAAAATCAGCACAGCATACAGATATTGTAGGAATAAAAATATTATAAATAAGTAAGAGAATTGCTGATGACTTTCTAGCTAGTTAAATGAGTACTATTTTAATGTAATATGATAAAACAAAGAGAATTTAAATTGCCATTTCAAGGAATTTAGACTAAGATCTCCAAGGTTTGGATGTACTTAAAATTTTGAATTCCATAAAAAACATTATTGAGTTATTTAGCCTTGAAAATAATGTGATGAATAAGAGTTTTTTTTTTTTTAAAGAGTCTATATATATGTCATAGGAGAATCACATAGAAGATATAAACTAAGGAGAAGAAAAAAAATACAACCTTTAGATTAAGTGAAATGATTGCTCAGATTTAAAAATGTATCATGAGAATTTCCTAGGTTTTGCAGCTGGAGCTAGCTGCACTCAAGGATGACGTGAACATGCTCCTGTATGAAGGGATTGGAAGTGACCATACTACTCTCATCCTCACCAACATCCATCAGGACATTTAAATTTTGACTTCTGTAACTTCTTAAAGGGCAAAATATTTGTATAAGAATTTTGTGTGCTTTGTTTATTTTTTTGCATTGGAATATTACCAAATCTAATGTCTTATAAAATTCTCACATTTCCCTTTGATCCTTTCATCTCTCCCTGCATCCTTCCCTCCCCCCCTTATTTCAGTAAGGTTGAATATTAATTATGGAACAGAACTGTAAGGAGAGGACTAGATCTGACCAAAGATTAAAGGTGGGTATGACTACATGGGGTAGACACTGGTAAAGCTGGTGATTTGAAGGAAATAGATTGACATTAACCAGCTGTGAATCCAGTTTTGGCTAGATTGCTTCCATTAAATGTGCTTGCCAAAAGTACTGATTTAAATATATTGTTCCTGTACAATACTTTCAAAACTATACTTGACAAAAATAACAGAAGTAGCTTCGCGATACTATTTTTAGTCATGATTTTATACATACCAGAATTTAAAGCTCTTTTGCCCATTAGTCCAACAAAGGAATCTGTTTTATGCCCTGAAAAAATACATTTAGGGGTATTTTAATATGTATGTCTTTGAGGAAATAAATGGTTATGACTAGTACAAAATAAAGCAAGCTTCTGAATATATGCCTATATAATAAATATATATCTATTTTGAATTTTGACAAGCCCAACGAAATGAAGATTCCTTATAAGTCTTACACGTTGCACTAAAACAATAGCTTGAAATTAATTTTGTCAGTTCTATATTTAAATGCTAGCACTCTCTTTTATCCTTTTTATATTTTTATCTATTACCTTAAATTTTGACCATTGTTGGTTCTTGAGGTCACTTTGATTTGAGGAGAGTCAATTTACATTTGGGTGAGAATAATACCCAAGCTATTTCATGATGTGACTGAATATATTATATTTCTTAGCAAGTGACCATTATTAGTTAAATCAGATATCTATCCTTGATGACTGCCATATTCCAAAAGGCCACTATTTTATTAGAAGTTTTTAAAATACTTTTTAAAGGAAAATATATTAATTTTGACATTTGTAGGGTAAATTTGCTTTTATTATATTGAATTTCACTATGTATAATTTGCTTGAATAACCAAATCCTTAGGAAGACAATATGAATAACAATTGTTTATTCTCAAAGATGAACTCTTTATAAAAAGGTTATAATGTTAAGGCTACTGAGAGGATTCCTCTCGGTGTTTTGCTTTATTAGTTGAGAGCAGAGCTTCTCCTGTATTGATTAATGCCTACCCAACATCTCAGTGAATGGAATCCAAGACAGGGCATGTAACTAGACCCTGTGATTAAAATGGACTCTGGGGACTCCCTATGGACTGGAGTCATTAACAAGGAAAGGAGAACTTAATGATCTTCCAAAGCCATAATTCTGCCCTAAGACAGTGATTTACAGAGTGAGGTTTCCCATTGAAATATGGGATTAGAGCTGCATTTCTATCCATGTTTACTTCAGTTGTGGATTCCCTATTCAGATAATTCACCCATTCTAATTCACCCATTCTACTTAATTGGATTCTGGATGTTACCCTCCACATGAGGTTACTGTGGGGGTCATGTCACTGAGTTAAAATGTGTCTATAAATTTTGGGGTTCCTGCAGTGTAAGTGCACATGGAGGGTAGAGATGGGAGATGGATGCATGTGATGGACTTCTAACCTTAGTACTAAAATCTGAAACTAGCAGTTTACAGGTGCTAAAGGACTTTCATTTTTGTTTTCTCAATGTACTGCATCTTTTTGGTAAGTATAATATGCCTAAACAACAGATGTTATAATACTACTCATTTATTTAATCATATTGTGGGTGAGTTACTTTCTTATATTGTTTTAGCTAAATACATTAGGCCCTTAGTGATGTCTGAAAATAAGATAATACAGTAGAATTTAATATAATTAGCATTAGCATTTGATAAGTGTCAAAACAATTCTGAACTTACTTTTGTGAGAGATCTGGCCATGTCCTAGAAGAAAGTAAAAAATGTTTATTAAGAAAACTTTTTGAAGAAGTTACTTTGTATCTTTAATAAAGAATTGTAAAATAAACTGATCTTCAAAATATGGGATGCTTTATATATGTGTATATATATGATGAATAGCAGAACTATAAATAATAACTAATTACTAATAAAAGCCTAATATTTAAACAAACAAAAAGAATGTTTATTAAATGCTTCTTATGGACCACAGATTCAAATCTAGAGCTGTGGGATGCTTGAGGCCTTGTTATTAAGTGTAAGGCTCTCTCATCTTCTGTCTTTGAGGTTTGCACCCCATTTCAGCTCACATACACACATGCTCACACATACACACACATTGAGAGAGAGACAGAGATGCTATTTCATAAACAGGCCTTAAACAGCTTGAGTTCAGCACAATATTTGCTTCACTTTCTTACGTGTGCATTCACAAGAGTAAAATAGTTATAGGAATGTTTACCATAAAGAGCTTTTAACAGGGCCACTTGTTTTTCAATTGAGGAATCTGACAAGAGATGAATTGATATTAACTATTCATACATTCCAGAGATGGTGCAATGAACTCAAGGAAAGAAAATATTTCTATCATGCAGCAAGGAGCAGCACATTCGAGCCGAGCCCCAGAGAACGCCCCAAGTCAGTTTCCACATGCCCTAGGACCACTTAGAGCACACTCCCAGAAGCTCCTGTCTTCTCCCTCTTTGTGATTTGGATTTTTAGTCTGGGAAGTGCTTAACTAAGGATCATTCTTCCTTTCTTGCTTTAATACTGTGACGCAGGAGAAATGAATCTCTCCCTGCATCACTAGGTAGTGTGTGTGTCATGGAGTTACAGGCCAGCCCTGCCCTGGGAATCACAACTCCCTTAGGGTGGAAATCTCTTCTCAAAGACTGGGAGACACTTGAGCGCTCAGAAACCAGCCAGCAGAAGGGGCCCGTTGCCCCTGAGATCTAGATAAGGACTGTGGCTCATCTCACCAGCATCCCGTTTGCCCATTAATCCGAAGAACTGCTGAGGCTTGGGCCTCCGGGCGATTCTCTGCAGAAGATGCTCAAAGGGTTCTGGTAGCTCCTCCTGGGGGGGAAACAGGGCACAGAGAAATCCATTGTGAGGCGCACAGTGACCCGCATCATTCATTCCCACGGTGCCCTCCAGTGGCTCGCGAGCTGAGGTCGCTTCCCAGCTGCTCTCAGTCTTGGCTTAGAGTGGTCAGAAGGGGCTGTCACAGAGGCCTCTCCGTCTCCACCCACCCCAGGCCCGCTGCCTCTTCCAGGAAGCCAGCCTCGCCTAGGTGGGAGCAACGCAGCAGTGTCTTGCAACCCTGAGTGCTTTCTGCTGGTCCTCGCATCTTGGACACCCTCACCCACCGAGTGCGCTGCCATCGGACTTGTTTTGTCTCTGAGATGAACTTGGGGAGCCCCTCACTGGCCCACATGCCCACAGGTGCCTGCACGTTGGAATTGGGGTGAAGGTGCACATATTTTACAACTGACCCGCTGTAGGCAATTTTCACTTAAGGTGCGCTCACATTCAATGTGAAGTCAGGAAATTAGCGTCTCAACCCCCTTCCCGCCCTTCCTGCCCCCCTCCCCGCACCTCCCCAGCTCTCTTGTTCTAACCCAGCATTTCTAAACGCTCTGGCAATGCACCTGGAGGAAGCCCCTGAAATCTCCCTTACCAGGAGATGACCCCTTGTGGGGTTTCCAACCCTGTGAGGGCACGGGTTCATCTGGAACATGCTGCCCCTCACTCATTCAGGGGGTTCCTGGACCCCATAAGCAACCCCTCAGAAGGGAACTTATTTTCTGCGCCCCCAATCCCCTGCGGGACCCGGGGGATGGCGCCCCATTTCCAGCCCACCGCGCGCCTCCAATGCGTCTTTTGGCCATTTCAGTTCCCGCCAGTCTAGCCCGGGTCGCATGGAAGGGGAAGAGAACAGTTTGGGGAGCACGGGAAGAACAGCTCACAGGTCGGATCATAACGGACCGGACAGGGTCTCACCTTGATCTGGTTACTGTCCGACCAGTCAGACCAATAATTTAGATCATCATTGGCACCCATTTCTTCTGCCAATAGCTGAGTGGAGACGAGAAAAAACACGGCCAAAGCCACGAGGATTTTCATGTTGGATTTCTGGAGAGAGTCGGGAGGAAGACCAGAGGAGAGAGGGAAATTACACACCACACACACACACACACACACACACACACACACACACACACACACACACACACACACACACATCTAGGGTGGCCATGCAAGAGTTTAGGGGAGCCCCAGAACGAAATTCGGTTCTGATTGTGCCAAGATAAAATCCATCGGAGCTAAACATCCCGCCTGTACCCCAACATTCTCAAATTCTTTTCTCCTTGAGTTTCAGCACCCCAGACCCCCACACCTAGTGACCTCCCCCAGCCCGGGAGACTGCAGGCGGGAGACAAAGGGAGGCAAACCGGTTTCTCTAAGGGGGCTCCAGTTGCACCCGTGCGTGCGCCGCCAGCTGCAGCCCGGGACCGGTGCTCCGGGCTGGGAGGGCCGGGAAGCCCGGGCGGGCGCAGCGGGGCGCGGTACTTACTGCGGCCCACCGGCCCTCGGGGGTGGGAGGGGGTCCGGGGCTCGGTGGGTCCGGTCGCGGTCGGGCGGCTCCGCGCGCGGTGGCTGCGGGCAGGGAGGAACGGCTCCGCGCTCTTTTGCCTGCTCCGGGGCTTCGCGGTATTTATCTCAGGCGTGACGAGCCCGGGGCACCCACGTGACACTCTCCCCACGCGACTTTCTGCTCAATATTTAATTAGCCGCCTCCTCTCCTTTCGCCTGCGTGATCGAGAGTTTCCGAGCTGGTAACCCGTCGGTGTCCGGAACATCTGGACCGGGTCGGGTGCAACGTGACGCAATTTGATCAACTCCAGGTCTGGCCCTCGCTCCCACGCGGCCGGTCCCCTCCCCCGGGGCATCGGACGCGCCTCCCTCTCCGGCCGGACCCTCTTCCGAGACACCTGCGGTGACTCACCCCACGCCAGCCCGTGACTCACCGCTCCGACTTCGGGCAACTTTTTCTGTCTCTCGGAGACGCGGGGCCAAGTTGCACTTCGGAGAACCGCTGAATAACTCGGTGCAGAAAGACCGAGAGCGGTTCACTTTGGTTGGAACGGGAGAATGGTCCCTCCTCGCTCCCTCTTGCACACTCAGGTGTTTCCTCTCCTCCATCAGCCAGAACACTGCCATTAACCCAGCATTTACAAGGGGGGGATTGCAAAGAATGGAGGATTCATTTTGCATCTGCGAGAAAGAGACTCGAACCGTGGCGCAGCCTTAGTCTTACATCAGTGACACGTCTTTTCTTCCCTAATGTCCATCCTTGCTCATCAGGAGCGCGGGATGGAAGGGGAGGTGGAGGTTTCTCCCCTACCCGTTCTTCCAGAAGATGGCAAAACCAGCTGGCAACACGGGCATTCCTAAAGGACTCTGCTCAACAGTTACAGAGTTCTCCATAGAAAAAGTGAGCAGAGCAAAGAGACTAACTGGGTGGTTGATGATATAATTAGATAAGTAATATCTGTCTGTCGCCCACAAACTTGTCCTTCTTCTCAAATTAAGCTAAATGATATGGCATCTGCATTGTAGGTGGAATTGTTTACTCTTAGTATCGTATCTTTTTTCTTTTATTAGTTATGCCTTTACTATAATGTGTAAGGGAAATAAAAGTTTGCAACTGAAACCATTAATAGCTGGGTGCTGGTGGTTTAGGCCTGTAATCCTAGCAACTCAGGAGGCTGACATTGAGGACTGAAGTTTGAAGCTAGCTTGGGATTTTAATCTCCAATTAACACTCCACCCACCCACAAGCAGAAAGTGGAGATGTGGCTCAAGTGGTCAAACACCAGCTTTGGGCAGAAGTCAGGCAGACCAAGTTATATTCTGCGTATGACTATGGCTTTCCTAAATAAGGATACAGGATGACCCATTGTAACAATGAGATGTACAAGACAGTTGAAAATGAACTTTACAACTTTGTGACAGAAAGTGGGTGGGAGAGGGAAGGGAGGAGTTGGGAGGTGGAAAGGAAAGGGATGATAGCGGAAATATAAAGGAGGATGTAACAATGCTCAATAGGAACTGGACTCATTACCTTGCTCATATAACTGTAACCCTTCTGTAAGTATCTTTACAATAAAAATATATTAAAAATAATAATAATTTTAAAAAGTCAGGCAGAGTTCCAGCCTCAGTAGGGACACACACACACACAGACACACACACACACACACACACACACACACACACACACACACACACACCATACCACACCAATAACATTTCCTCATTTCTTCATTGACCATGACTTTTTTTCCTCCTTCTCCTCATTCTCGTCCTTGTTGTCCTCCTCCTCCTCCTGCTGCTGTTATTTTCTTTCTTCTTTCTTCTTCTGTTGCCAATTCTTAAACTTGAATCAGGGCCTAGGAGTTGTTCCTCAGCTTTTTGCTCAAGGCTAGAGTTCTACCACATAAGTCACAGCTCTATTTCCAGATGGTTGGTGTGTAACTGGAGATAAGAATCCAGGAACTTTCCTGAAACTTCAAACCACAATCCTCAGATCTCAGCCTCCTGAGTAGCTAAGATTATAGGCTTGAGTCGCAGACACCTGACTGACTTTGATCATGTATTTCATTGTTCAGACTTAACCCCACAATGTGAACATTTTATTTTTCTCTTCAGACTTTTATTATGGGAAATCATAACCACGTACTTATAAAAGTAGAATCATGTACTTATAAACACAAAGATACCTACATGGGAGCTATGATACCATTGTTAGAAAAAGTGCGTGAGTTTTCTCCCATCTCACTTCCCTTTCGCCTCCACTTTGAAGTTCTGAGACTACTTTAACATTATTCTGGTTGTAACATTCAGATTGAGTTTTGCTGCCTTACTTTATTAATTGTCTACTTTTCATTTATGTTTAAATGTTCATTGTTCACGGCCAGATTTTAAAACTTGTGTTGCTATTCTTAAGTAGATTTTTAATCATCTCTTATTTGACTGTTTATCATCTGTCAAGAAAATTTTCCTTCTCTGAGAAAAAAATCATACATATTGTATTTTCTGATGCCTTTCATTCTAGTGAATATCTGCCAGTGCCTTGTATGTGTAATTGCTATCTTAATTAATTGCAATGTTTTCAGATTAAAGTTTGCTAAATTTCATGGTCATTCTTTCATTGTCTTGTAGGGATGAGTGTTCTGGGGAATTTTCCCTATGTCTTCTATGTGATTTAGGTTTTTGCTTGAGTATCTGGAGATTTCTTCTTTATACTTGACAATCAATGATTGAATTGTTGTTTAGTAAGATCCTCCTCCTTCTTCCTTTCTCCTCCTTTCCCTTTCCTCTTCTCCTCCCCTTTCTCCCTCCTCCCCACCTCTTCTTCTCACTTCTCCCCTTTCTCCTACTCTTTCTCCCCTCTCCTCCCTCTTCCCCGCTTTCTTCTCTTTCTCTTCTTTCTTCTTCCTTCTTTTTAAAATTTATTTTTTAATTTGAATTTTTTGCCACTCCTGAGGCTTGAACTCAGGATCTGGGCACTGTTCCTGAGCTTCTTTTGTTCTACCACTTGAGCCACAGTTCCACTTCTGTCTTTTTCTGTTTATGTCATACTGAAGAGTCAGGCTTCATGCATGCTAGGCAAGCATTCTATCACAAAGCCACATTCCCAGCCCCCCTTCTTTCTTATTCATTCTTCTTCCCTCTTCTTCTTTTCTTCTTCCTTCCTCCTTGTCCACCCACTTCCTTCCTCTTCTAGTGGTACTGGGATTTGAATTCAGCTTCATACTTACTAGTTAATGACTCTACTGCTTGAACTGTGCCTCCATATCTTTTTTCTCTGGTTATTTTTGAGATCAGGTCTTACTTTTTGCTCAGGCTATCCTGGACTTACAGTTTTCACCATAGCTTTGATGACAGACCTGTGCTACCATGCTGTTTTTTTGTTTTTCTTTTTGAAACAGGACTAGCCTGAAACTTCAGTCCTACAGATCTCTACCTCTCAAGTAAGTAGAATTACAGACACGAATCACCAGTGCCTGGCTAACTTATACATTTGCTTAACTGTAGCTTGGAATTCATTGAGCAATGTCTCCCTATTCCCTGACTTTCTTCCTCTCTTCAGACTCTGATATCCACCATCTTCTTTCTTGTGTTTCTGAAAAGATAAGCAATTTTCATAGGCTTGCTCATGAGTGAGATTACCTAGTATTTTTCTTTCTGTACTTGGCACATTTCACTAAGCATCATGACTTCTAGGTCAATCAGGGATGAAAAGCCTTTTTTTCTGCCAAGATCCACTTGACCATTGATAACATTATGACCAGTCATACAAAATAGTCAATATAAGTAGATAGCCTTAGGCAGCATATGTGTGTATCTGCCATGTTCAAAATGATTGATGACTTATAAAGTCTATGGGTTGGATATTGCTTTCCCCTTCATGTTTTGCAATTTGCAGAATTTCACAGTTTTCTTGTGGATTTGCACCACATTTTAAATCTATCCATCTATTGATGGACACTTAAGTTGATTTTTAAATCTATTATGAAGAGATCTGTAGGAAACCTGAGTGCATATGTCTCTTTGGCGTGTTAATTTCATTTCTTTTGGAGATGCACATACAGTGCATACATACATATATACTTACATATGTACATTTATCTATTTTCTCAATGCTAGCACTTGTGGTTCATACGCCAGTTTTATTTTCAAGTTTTGAGGAAATTTCATACATTTCCCCATAACTTATGTTACCAGAATCTATGTGAAGGATTCTCTTTCTGTATGTTCTTATCAGCTTGCTATCTTTTGTCTTCTCAATAATAGCCATTCTTACTTGGGTGAGGTAACTTCCTATTATAGTTTTACATTTCCTGGATGACTAGGGATACTGAGCAGTTTTTCATCTGTCTGGTGGCCACTTGCAGGTCATCTTTTAAGAAAAGAAAAGTCAACTTTTCTCCCTGTTGCTTCTGCTTCCAAAAATCTCCAGAAAAATTCAGCATCTAATATAGTTGCATGGATTCTAAACCATTCTCTCCATTTTGATATTGTTTGGATGGCACTGGGCAGATCAAATGGTAGTTACCATTTGATTTTGTTCCTACAGATTTTTACTGTGTTTCAGGGCTAGTAATTTTGTATTTTTTTATTATTTGGGAGTGAGAGATGGAGGAGGCTGAGTACAGTCTGAGTAGAGTCTTATTCCCTTGTGTTTTTGAGCAGTGTCTTACTGTCTTATTACATATCATTTCCCTGGTTGACTTGACTTTGCATGTCCCGTAGGAGAGCACTCTAAGATTTAGATGTTTGTGTTTCCAGTCCCCTTAAGGAGACTCTGCTCTAGTTTTCTACATGTCATCGGTCTCTCTGCCACTTATATCTACTGTCTTCAGGAAGAGAGCACTCATCTGCCCACTTACTTTTCTTCTCTCCTTGTGTAGCACCATCAGAGGTCATCAAGATGTTGTCAGCTCACTAGTAAAGCTTCTTGGGGCTTATGGTTGAGTTAGAAGTGCAGTATGGTAGCACTGTTTATGATGGATTTTGCTGATTTG